TAGCTGTGCTGTGGTCACACATTTCTTTAGAGATACACCTGAAGCGTCAGGGGGCAAAGGGCCATCATGACTGCATGATACAGGGAGGCTCCTGGGAACAAATGGGACAAAATGGTAGCAACAGCTGAATCAGAAGGAAGGACATTCAGGTGTTCTTTGCACTTGCCTTGCAACTCTCCTGAAAGTTTGAAATGGTCTTAAAATAGAAAACTGAAAAAAAAAAACAAAAAACAAAAAACAAAAAACAAAAACATGCCCAGGTCAGAGTTTGCCCTCCAGGGCTCACCTACATGCTGCTTGATCCACATGGCCTGTTAAACAAATGGGGATTTCTCGCCAACAGTTAAACACTGGGAGAGTGTACATGAAATGTGGGTTCTGGCTCCCCTTGCACTGTGAACGCTGTGGCCACACTGGGGCCGGGGCTTCTGCGGGCAGCAGTGAGAAGTAGTCATGTTCTTGGTTTGGTGCTGTGCTCTCCCTGCTGAGCCCATGCAGGGGCGACCTTGTACCTCCTGAACATTCTACTCTGCCTGGCCTGTGTCTGCCTGTCCATCCTGGGAGATGAGCTCCCGGCCTTTGGGATTTTCTTTGTTTTCTTTGTGCCCCGGTCCCTGGGCATATCCAAGTCTTTCTGAAGGCTGGTCTGTGCCCGTTTGTCAGATGGGGAGACTGAGGACCTGAGGGGCAGAGGTCACGGCTGGAGCTGACAGAGGTTTGGGACCTGGGTGTTCTGCCTCCAAATGCTGTGCTTGCTCCACACCACACAGCCCCTCACAGCAGTACCATTTACAAAGGACAGTGACATCCATCCATGCATGGGGTCCCCACAACAGCCCTGTGGGGTAGGCAGGAGGGAAGGGCCCCCAGCAACTCCTCCACTGCACAGACACCAACATGGGGGCTCAGGGAGGTGAATGGACCTGTCCAGGGTCACAGGCTAGGCATGCTTGGGCCGACTGCCCCCAGCGCCAGAGTGTTCTTTGCCTTCCTGTAAGGTGCACCAGTGTGTCAGACACCCCAAGGGGGTTTCTGCACAACCATGAGGACCCCGCAGGTGCCCCTAGCCTGGTCCCTTTCTCTTCCCCAGGGGGCATTCAACTGGAAGGCCCCGCAGGCCTCCCCGCCCAGGGAAAGGTCCGACGTGTCTGTCATGCACAAAAACGAGCATCCAGATGGCAGTTATCCAGAGTTCAGAGTGCTGGGGAAGAGAACAATCAAGGAAAACCCCCTGGAGGAGGCAGGCTCATGCAGGCTGAAGGAGGGGAGGAGCTGGATGCGGGAAGCTCAGAGAAGGGGAAAGGGGAGATATTCAGGATGAGAGAAGAGAGGGGGAAATGGACACTTTGACACAACCTCATCAGCTGGGGGTCACCTCATTTTATAAGCGAGGAACTAGAAGCTCAGACAGGGTAAGAAGCCTGTCCAGGGTCTCCCAGCAAACGAGGCAGTAGGGATTTGAACCTAGACCTGTTTCACTACCCAAGTCCAGGCTCCACCTAAGGAATGGGGAGGGAACCAATCTGTCATGGGCATCTGTCAGCTCTCACAGGGCTAGGGAGCGGCTTCCCCTACATCACACACCGGGGCCTCCCCACAGTCCTCACAGGTCAAGAGAAGGGGTGCAGCATGCCCAAGGCCACACAGTGAGTTCATTCCCAAGCCCAGATCTGCCTCAGTCTAGCCCAACCTGGCCTTTTCTACAAGAGCCTCAGCCTCCCTCCTCTCTCTGGCAGATGGTGCTTGAGCTGCTGTGCCGTGCGGGGCCCAGGGACGGAGCTCCTGGTAGCTTCACGCTCAGGGCTTCCAGCTGCTGGACGGCTCTCGGTGAGAGGAGGAGTTACAGGTGCATTGCAACGATGATGGTGTCTGTCCATCTGCATATGGCCAAGGCTGGATGGGACCCATACAAGTGAGACCAGTAGATCTCTTTGGGTGGTGGGACTGGATGCATTCTTCTCTTCACTTTATCTAAGACAGTCTGCACTCAGCCAAACTCAGCCCATGTTAGGGGGCTGTGCTCGAATGGACCAAGCACAGTGTGGGTGCCGTAGGATGAAATGGGAGTCCCAAGCCGTCTGGGGGTGACTGTCCAAGGGCAGTGGTGGGCAAAGAAAGCTTTTTGGAGGAGGTGGGCCTGAGCAAATGCACCTGAGTTAAATGTGTAACAAGGAAGGGAGAGGGCCATCTAGGAGGAGGGGGCAGCCTCAGCTGGGGCAGGGCGGAGGGAACAAAGTAAGGTGCATCTCCAGCAGAGGTGCAGGGCGATGGTGGGTGTGATGAATCTGTGACGTGTATGCCTGGGAGGGCACTGAATGCACTGGCCATCCAGGGCTTGGGTCTACCCTACAAAACCCCCAGCACTCCACAGCCTGTCGAGGTTCTGCTCACACACAATCAGTCTCACTGATTGTGAGGCTACAGGAACTCACTACCTTTTGGCAGCCTCTTTTGTCTAGAATGGTTCAAACTATTATAGAATTCTTCAGAATTCTTCTATTCCTAATTAGACTGCCTTCTATTGGGCTGACTCTACCCCCTCCCTCTTCCGCCACATCTCTCCGTGAGCCTGGGCTAAGCCACTTGCCCCTCCCTCCCAGCCCCATGCAATTGTGCTTCTGAACACCAGTGTTGCAGTTCACGGCCAAGGGTCACTTTCTCCCGTCTAGCTCACCCTGCACTCTGGCAATCTCGGTGGGTCCTGCCTCTTGGTTTCTTTTTGTCATCCTCCCTGCACTCATGGTCTCTGCAAAGTTGGAGGGCACACTTTCCATACTGAAACAGGATAGAGCTCCAGTGAAGACCACTGGATTACCAGCAATCCAAGACTCAGTACAAACCCACCAGAATCTCCCAGGCTCTAGCACATCCTGCTTTCTCTTGCACACAAGGACTTCTCAAGGGACCCTGGCTGCTGTCTCCTGACATCCAGAGGCCCGGAGTCCACACTATTTGCCTGGGCTTCCAGCTAGAAGTAAAGATTAAGACTAAAAAAGTTCGTTTGGCTTGGGCTGGCTAGCTGACTTCCCATCTATCTCTGCCCCTTCCAAGTCTCTTCCAGAGTCTCCTTGCAACAGTGCCCATCTCCTTGGCTGGTCTGGGGTATATCAAGTCAGTGATTATGAACAAACATTTTCTCTCCTCAGCCTCCTGCAAGGTACCCTCCTTTCCCTTCTCCAAACTGTCTAGAACATTTGTCACCCATTCATTTAGGCTCAGGGGCTCCACCTGACTTCTACTGATTCAGACGACCACCGGGCCACTTCTCCCAGGGATGACTGCCTCTCTGCTAACCACTTCAGCTCGGGGGTCAGAACCAGGGCCACAGGGCCATAACAATTTACAGAACCCTCATGTGGCCCTAAATTCCAAGAAGGCATTCAAGGCTTTCTATGATTTCTTAGACTCCAGGGCCTTTGCACTTGCTGTCCCTCCACCTGGAATGTTCTTTCTTCTCATTGTGCTGGTTTCAGCTCTAAAGCAACCTCCTCAGACAGGCCTTCCCTGACCAACAGGTTTCCTATCCCTTTCCTCAGAGTTTCTATTTCATTATAATTAATGACTTCATCTTAATATTTGAAATTACCTTATATATTTGCTTGCTTGTTCCTTTATTGTCTAGATTCTAACCTTCAGGATGGCATGGACATTATTTGTCCCACCAACCACTGGCACACAGTAGCTACTAAATAAATATTCGTCAAATAAATTCTGAATAAATAAATGCCCCAGCTCTGATTCTCATTTCTTTTTACCATCTTACCCTGCAGACCTGTTGATCTTTCTCTTTGTATTGCAAGGACATCCCATATTCCTTCAGGTCTCTGTGTCTTTGCACACATTTGTCTCTACTAAGAGGCCCTTTCTCCTCACTTTGGGTGAGTTCCTACTCTTTAGAACCCTGGGCAATCCCACTCTGGGTAGTTCTGCTCCTTTTTTTGGCTTTCTCACCTCTCTCTCACTCTTCTACTGTGGATGATCTGTTTGCAAGTCTGCTTCCCCTAGCCTCTGTGAGCTGGGGGCTCTCAAGGCCAGGGGAGGCTCTGAGTCATCCTGGGTCCAGTGCTCAGCACAGGGCCTGGCCCAGCACAGCTGCTGCTCAGAGGATGTTTGCTGAGCAGTGCTGGACAAGGAGACCCTTTCTGTGTCCCTGTTAGACGGGTGTCTCATCCAGGGGGGACTCACCTCTGTAAGGTCTCTCTGCCTCCTCTCTTTCCCCCTGCAGCAGCCAGAGGCAGATTTAAAAAATGTATGTGTGACCAGTTCACTGCTGAAAACTATTTCAGCTGATTCTCATCACACTTAGAAAATTTCCAAGCTCCCGACCATGGCCCACAACATCTGGGCCCTCCACCATCTCCATTTTGCTCACAATCTTCCTGCTTGAGTGTCTTTGCACTTGGTGTTCCCTCCGTCTGGTATATATTTCACCCTCAAGTTACAAAGCCAGCTCTCTCTCCTCATTCACAACACAACTCAAACATGGCCTTCCCTGACGCCCCGGCCACCTGCCTCCCATTGTTCTGCTTTATTTCCATCATATACCTACCACCCTCTGGGGGCTTTGCAATGCCCATCTCCTCTCACTACACCACAAGCTTCTCTAGGCTGCGGTTTCATCAGCCTCACTCCCTGCTGTATCCCTACACCAAGCCGAGTGCCTGGCCCATGGTAGGTGCCCAAAATAACTGTTACCTGAGGGAATCTTACCTATCCCTGACAAGAACAGGCTTTGGTGTCTGACTTTCCAGAAGGCCATGTCACTAGAAAGTAAGTTCTGTGAGGGCAGGGATTCTCTGTTGACGTTATTTACTGTACTATCCCCAGGGCCTGGAGCAGTGCTGAGTGCACAGTTGGCTCAAAGTATGTTTGTTTGTTGTCTGGAGCCAAGGAACAAATCTCTGAGAACTTCCAGCCTCATGACAGGGACACAGATGGCCGCGCAGCATTGAGGCGGGAACTGGCAATGGGAGTGAGCCCGCCGTTGGGCCACATCTCACCTGACAGCAGCATGGGGTCCTTGTCCACAGACTTGCGCACCTGGTCAGACTCCCCGGTCAGGGAGCTTTCATCAATCTTGAGGTCATTTCCCTGGATGAAGAGGCCGTCGGCTGGGAGGAGGTCACCTGGTGGGGGGAAGGGCAACAGACTCAGCAGGGTCTCAGGTGGCTGGAGGGTCTTGGAACATTCCCTTAAAGGTGTGATTGCAAGGTCAAGTTCACCACTGGGGACCTGTTGCCTTGAGGTCCTGGAGTGTGGAACTAAGACGGTGCCCATCACAGGCAATAGGCAACTGAAATGTGGAGCCAAGGTGGATGGCACAAGGCCTAGAGGGCAGAGGCTGGGCCAAGAACAAGTACATGCCCTAGCTTGAGTGGGCATGTACTTCGGTTTATAAAGTGCTTCTCTTGGCCTGGTGTGGATTTGGGGTCGAGTTTCCTCAATGATTCATACTTCTCTGTCTCAACTATAGTTTGGGAAATTGTTTTGGGAGGGACGGGTCTGTCCTGACTATGCTGAGGAGACCCTAAGACAGGCACATTATCAGAGGAAACCAAGCTCCCTCAGGCAGAGTGAAGAGGGCATGGCAATCTCTCCCCCATGTTCTGCCTCTACTTACCTAGGACACATCTTGCCTAAACCTCCTTTGGTGCCAGCCAGCCTGACCACTTTCTCAATGGCAGTATTATAGGCCTAGAATGTTTGCTCATCTACATCCATTCCCTACAACACCTTCTCAAACCTCCAAGCCAACCAAGAATAGCCCAAGCAGATATAGGAAATGGATATCATCTCATAAACCCATTCTGAGTGTTAGTGGTCCTTGGAGTATTGTGTTGGGAAGATTTTTGTGTCTAAACTCTGAGCTGTGATTGATTAGTAATGTCTGCTACAGGTGTAGATTGGGAGAAAAGTAGCACACGTGCCCTGTATTTGCCATTTCTGACTTTACATAGATTCTGGAATCCTACCTCCTCTAGGAAGTAGCCTTCTACTTCCCAAAGGATCTCAGAAGACATCCTGGCTCAGGATTAGCCTTCAGGGACTGACCCCCTTCCCTGGGCCAGCCTCTCTGGGCCTGCCTATCCTGTTCCACCTCTGCCCAGACTTGAGCTCTAACACCTGGCTCTGTGGCTGGGACACTTACCATATTTGACCTGGGCGATGTCCCCAACAACAATCTCGGCCACAGGGATCTGGACCACCTGGCTAGCCCGAACCACGGTGAACTTCTGCTCTTGCTCGATGCGGCTCTGCAGGCCCCGGAACTGCTTCTCTTTGCTCCAGTCATTGAAGGCCGTGACCAGGACCACACAGATGACTGAGAGGAGGATGGCCGCCCCCTCGATCCAGCCAGCCTCTGCCTCCCCTTCATCCTCTGCCCCGCCCTGGGCCGTCGCACATCCTGCAGAGAGCAGAGGGAAGCCGGCAGGATGGGGTCAGCCAAGCAGGAGGAGCCTACAGGTCTGGAATTAAATCCCAGCTTGGCTGAGTAAAAAAACGGTGGTAATTAGATGAGCATTATTAAATTTATTCAATGTGTCTGAGTGGCAACGCCTTCAGGTTCCTGCTTTCATTCTAGGTGTGAGCTCTTGGGCAAATGACTTCACCTTTGGAACCTCAGTTTTCACCTCTGTAAAAAGGGACGAATATTCTTTGTCTGGGGGACCTATTGTGAGGGTTGAATGTCAAGGTGAGGTCCGTGTTGGCTCTAGCATAGACCTCGCATAGGGGAGAGGCCTGATTCACGAGAAAAGAGGAGTGAGGATGTAACAGAATGAAGATGATCAGTTCTGCACGTGCTTTAGGACCTCGAGGGCAGTTTTGATGATGCTCTTTCCTTCCGTGCTTCCAGCAACTATGGCTGGTCTCCAGAGAGCAGGCCCGGGAGTGGGGAGGGGGTGGGGGGCAGGAACCACAGCTCTAGCCGTGTCCAATGGGCTGGTAAGAATTCTGCCACTGCCCCTGTACGATCCTAGGTAACTCCCTGTCCTCCCTGAGCTGTAGTGTTCTTTGCAAAATGGGAGTCAATGAGACCTCCTTCCAGGTTCCAGGAGAGGACGGTGAAAGCCCAAGCCAGAACTCAGGGTATGACATTTATGCCCTCCCACTACACAGCAAGGACACCCACAGTCCAGGCTGTAGGCTGCTTATCTGTCCTACAGTGACACTGTATCCCACAACCTCACACCACTGAACCTCTCATTCTGGTTCCCCAGACTGCTTGAGACTTGCCAGTCTCACCTTGTGAACAGAAAAGAGCAGACACATCTGATACAAAGGCCTCACATCCTGCCCATGGGGTGCTGAGTCCTAGGGCCTCTCCAAACTCCTCCACACACCCTGCCTCCCACATCCCCACAAGGATACAGGGAGGGAGAATTATTACCTCCACTTACAGATGAGGAAACTGAGGCTCAGAGAAGGGAGGGGACAGCCAAAGTGGGTGGTGCCGCCAGGACTAGCCCAGGCCCTTTCTCCCACCAGAAGATGGTGAACAGCCTTCTCCATGGAAAGTGACCCCGAGCAGCATCCTCCGACTATTATCCATCCCTGGAAAACTCAAGAGGTTCCCTTTCAAGGTGGCTGGGCAGAGGACTGGACCATTCACAAATCACTTGCACCAAGTGTTCATTTTAATTCTCAAATCGGCCAAGAGAAGTGGTTCAGAGAAGGGTGGCTACTTACCTGGGGTCAGACAGCAGATCTGGGGTTTGAATCCAGGCCTGAAATCTGACACTGGACTTAGCCTTCCCACTGTCCCTGAGCCCAGTGGCCTCCTCTGCCATGTGCTGGCCTCACGTTGCCGAAGACCCATGGCTGATTGGAAGCCCAATTCAGTCCCAAGGAAGAGAAACAGTTTCAAGAGATCCTGGCAGGAGCTTCTGGGAAGCCAGGGGTCAAAGGCAACATGACAAAAAGGCCAAGTGGTGTCAGAGAATGTTTTCCAGCACTCAGAGGGGTGGAGGTCAAGGCTAGCTGGTGGGCCTAAGCTTGGGATGGTCCAGAATCATAGGCTCGGCAATATGTCATTGGAAAATTCCATGGCTTTCACTGAAACAATCACTCCTTGCAGGCTAGTAAATAACCACCTCATTGCACAAGGTCTTCGATGCCACTCTTTCTTTTGGAATTTCAGGCTTCTCCAATAATTTTAAATTGTTTAGCTGAACCAGCCTTTAGTGCTAATGATCATTATAGTTGTGCTTATGCTAACTGACATCAGGCCAGCCTTGGCTTTGAATACTTCACTGCTGCATGCCTCTGACCTAGCTATTTAGCCTCTGTGCCTCAGTTTTTTCATCTAGAAATGGGGGTGAGGACAGGCACTCCATTGTAGGTGGCTGAGAGGACAGAGGGAGAGAGTGTTTACGTAAAGCTCTCACCTCACTGAGCACACGGAGTGAAAGCTGCTGTTCCTTGTTGTCTGGTGAATGGGATGTGTAAATGCATTTGAGCTCCACAGCCAGGCTGGAAGGGAACCTTGGACATCCAGCTCAGCACCAAGTGATGACCGGGGGAGGGGAACCAGGGTGCCCTTTCTCCATCATAACTGACACCAGTGGAAGCCCCAGAGATTGGGGAACTCGGATGAACCTTGCTAAACAGAAACCCAGTCCACGGAAATGTGCTCTTTTGGGCTTTGCATAGTGACTTGAGATGTAGAGCCCCGGTGCTTTGCTTTACGGGACTTTTGTTACCCTCTGCCTCTGCTACTTGCTTTGTAAATGGGAAGACTCTTGTGTGCTTCATTGATGGGCCTCCCCATTACATATCACAGCAGTTACTGGAGCATTTAGGACACTCACAGATAGCTCAAGATCACAGAAATTTGGATTCTGGAACTATTAAGACCTGACTTCAAATCCAGGCTCTGCTGTGTGACCTTGGTTAAGTGACTTGGCCTCTCTGAGTCTCAGTTTGGACAGCAGTAATGTGGGATGACTTTGTGAGCCCAGAGCCCAATAAGGAGCTGACCTATATTGGATACACGATAAATGTGGGTCTTCTCTCCACTTTCATGAGCTACTCTCCTTGGACTGGCTTCTGGAAGCCAAGGGTATGGTGTTTGAGCAGGATTCACTTTGTTTCCTTGACTCCCAACCCTGCCTGTTGCCTTTGCCTATTCAATACCAAGGAACCCTTTGGGTCCTGAGGGCACTCTGTCAGCAAAAGCCCATCAGTTTTTGCTTCCTTCTGAGAACTGTCTGATGGTCACACAGTGCCTTGGAATGGCCAGAAAGTGGGGCTGTGGATTGCTGGCTTAGGCCTTCAGCTGCCAGGAGCTGCTGGACCCTGGGAACAAGCCCACTGCCCCTGGTGCAGCTGGGGGGAAGAGATAAGGAAAGGGAAGGAAGGGGGCTCTGAGCAGGCCTGCTGAGGTCTCTTCTGGGCAGACCCTTCAGACTGGATCTAAAGACTGTAGCCACAGGGTCTGGGAGCCTGTGGCTGTTCTCTCTGGACCTGGGGATTTATAGGGTTTGGTTTTTGTCCATCTGAGCTCAGGGAAACTGTTTGACCTCTCTGGGTCTATCTCTACTTGTCCATCAGTAAAATGGGGAAGCTGCTTCCTAGATGGTGACTGGGCCCTGGCATCAAAGAAGAGTCCTTGAAACTGGAGAGACACAAATATTTTCTAAGCACCTACTATGTGCCTGTCACTTGGCTGGAATTCTGACACTAGGGCAGCTGTCACAGGTAGGGAGTTGGGAGCACTGAGTGTGCTAATCCCAGGCCTGGGATTAGCATGTACATGGGTATACCTCTGACAAGTATCTGGAGGTCTCTGAGCCAAGAAAGCGAACAGGAAAGGGCTGTGGATGCTTCAAGTTTCTACAGCTTCCAAGTCCATCACTAGCCTCATTTTGGATATAACTGATGAAGTTTGAGTCTGACTTGGCAGGGCGGCGGTCCTGGCAACATGGAAGGTCCAGAACTCAGAGCTCATGTGCGGGTCTGGGCACTGGAGAGTACAGGAAGTTTACTCTGTGGGGCTGGAATATATGCAGCTACCCTCATCCACCCAGATCCTGGCCTGAGCTAGTGTCTCAGCTGGAGGCAGGGAGGGGCCGTGGAAAGCACCAGAAGACATGGGTTTATCTAGTCCCACTGCCTAACAAGCTGTGTGACCTTGGGCAAGTCCTTCCCCGTTTGGGGCCTGGGTTCCCACCTCTCTAGAATGGAAGAGGTTGTAGCCATCTGTTAGGAGGCCTATCTGTGGGGCGGCTCCTTTTGGCGCACACTAGGACCTTGATTCCTGTTCCCACCGCACCCCCTCCACCATCTGCCCTCTGACTTCTAATCTCATGCTAAACTGGGTCACAGGAAGCTACTTACTTGGGTGGCACTGACTCAGTCCCATCCCTTCCTAAGGAAACGCAGCTGAGGGATGGGAGTGTGGGCTCGGAAGCTAGAATGTCTGGGTCTGAGTCATGGCTCTGCTGCTTCCTAGAGTGTGACCTAGCAAGTCATTCACTGTCTCAGCACTTTGGCTCCTGGATGATAACAGCAGCTACCCACAGGGTTGTTGGGAAGATCAAACGAATCTCTACTGTAAACGCTCCTAACTAGTGGTGGCTATAAAAATAGTAAGAAGAATTATCATTATTGTTATGCTGTGTGTTGCACCCTTAGCTTAGTTTCAGGCTTATTCAAATACCCATGTACAATCTTCTTCTACATGTTCTATGAAAAGCAGCAAAGACTGCTTCCTAATATGCAGCTCTTATAATGTCCTAATTGAAAGTTCATCCCAGAATTCACCATCAGGGGTGCCTGGGTGGCTCAGTGGGTTAAGCCTCTGCCTTCGGCTCAGGTCATGATCTCAGGGTCCTGGGATCAGGTACCGCATCGGGCTCTCTGCTTGGCAGGGAGCCTGCTTCCTCCTCTCTTTCTCTGCCTGCCTCTCTGCCTACTTATGATCTCTCTCTGTCAAATAAATAAATAAAATCTTAAAAAAAAAAAAGAATTCACCATCAGGGGACATGCTATCTTTCTAAAACACTGTTATCCCTCCTTGTGGAAGCTTGTGCTATGCGAGCCATCCTAATTCCCTTCCTGCCATGGCTGCCAGGAAGCTCAAAGTCAAATTTAAATCTCAAACACAGTAGCAAATATAGCTGGTTTATTCGCTTCCATTCCTTTCCTGTCTGACTTCCTATTTGACTTTGTCTTGTGAAATCTGTCTTTCTTGTGTCTTGAAACGCTCTCTGGAAAGAGGTCATGCAGGATAAAAAGCAACTTAGTAATATTATAAAATTGAGGTAGTTGGCCTAATAGACTTGTTAGTCTCGTTTCATGAGCAACTCAGGCTTGGGAGAGGGTGAGAGGACAGATGTTCAAGGAATTTCAGAGACCACCTCCTTGTCTGGGGAAATGAGGCCCATGATGGTTATTTCTTATACGCTATTCAGTTTTTATTTGCTTGATTGAAGTAATGAACATAGTAGGATTATCTCTTTAGGCAGTGCATTAATTAGGAAAATGCCAAATCATAATTAATAACAAGTGTTTATAATATCCTACTAATGAAAAAATCAGATTATAAAAATCTAACAAAACAATATATCTTATGGGAGCCCTTTTATCCCATAGTATGTGTGTGTGTGTGTGTCTGTGTGTCTCTCTTCCTCTATTGTGTGACATAGGTTTGAACGACTTTGCCATCGTAAAGGAAAGAGTCATTGAGTTGATAAAGTCCTTGCCCAGAGCAGGTGCTCGGTTTCTGGAATGAAAGGATGAGAGAAAGTTGAAGTTTCCCATTAGGAGTCTGAGTTCTGACTTCGAGAAGAGTGGGTCTCCTGCAGGACCCTCTCTGGATGAATGAGACAGTGCTTCCTCGGTCCACAGAGCAGTGTCTCCATTCAGAATGCAGGGACACATTTTGGGAGGCCCTCTTAAGATTGGGCCTCCTCACTTGGGAAACATATTCAGCATCAGCCCCGTGAGTGTGTGCACGATACTGAACCAACCCTGGGACAGGACCGTGAAACAGGAGGAGTGGCACGGGTGTTGAGTCCTTCACTGTGCAAAAGATGCAATCCAAGGGGAGACTGGGAGGAGGAAGCCTGGGGCAGCCACACGCAAGGCGGTAGCTGATCCAGCACCTACTCAGTGACCTTGAGCGAGTTAGCGCCTTATACCTTGTTTTCCTCATCTTTAAAATGGGCATAATCATGTCCTTTGCCTCATGGTGTCTTAGGAAGATGACATCTCAGCCCAGAGCTCGATGGGCTATAAGTGCTCAATAAATGCTCACTGTAGTTATTCTCACTGTCAGTGCAATCCTTATGTCTCACATGAGGGAAAACTGGGGGCCAGGGACTCTGGGAGAGGCCCTGCCTCCTGGGCCTATGTTCCCTCACTTGGGTGCCCTGGGATGTGGCCAGGCTGCTTGTTGCTGGGTGGGGAACAGGGGTCTTACCTTCATTGCTCTCGCCAGGTGGGTGGTAAAAGGACAGCCCCAGGGAGATGATGGCCGCGATTTCCAGGATGATCAGCGTCACGTCTTGTAGTGCCTCCCACACCAGCTGCAGGAAGGTTTTTGGCTTCTTTGGAGGTATAAAGTTTTGCCCAAAAATCTGCTTTCTCTTTTCCAGATCTGGAGCGGTGCCCGGCAAACCTGGGAACAGAATGCAGAAAGGTTGGCTTGGGAGGCCTGGGAGAGATGCTTGGGTTTCAGGGAATTGTCCCAAGTGGGGACGGCCCTGTGGCGAAGCACAGAGAAAGGGGTAACACAAAGCAGGAAACTTGCAGGTACCAGTCGGGAGCCCGGCGCCAACACTCACTTCCGCCCCGCAGTGCGCTTCTGGGAAATGCCAGAGACACCCCGCAGTGGGGTGAATAGTAACCCCACCCCCAAATGATATGTCCACATCCTCATCCCTGGAAACTGTGAATGAAAACTTCATTAGGAAAGTGGTCTTTGCTGACGTCATTAAGTTAAGGATCTGGGGATGAGATCGCCCTGGATTATGCAGGTGAGCCCTGAAACTAAGGACAAATGTCCTTTCAAGAGACAGAGGGAGAAGACCTAGACCCAGAGGGCACAGGCTCTGTGAAGACAGAAGTAGAGATGGCAAGAGGCAGCCAGAAGCCAAGCAATGCCAGAGCCACGAAGAAGCCCAAAGAAGCTAGGAAGGGAAGGTGCTCTAGAGTTCTGGAGGCAGCACAGCCCTGCCGATACCTCTCCTCCAGACTTGTCGTCTCTGGAGCTGTGAGGGAATAAAGTGCCCTTGTTCAAAGCCGCCCAGTTTGTGGTCACTTGTTACGGTGGCCACAGGAAGCAAATACACAGCACCAGGCCCACCTTGCACCGCACCCTTGCTCCTGCTCTGCATTTCCCCCTGCCCTCCCCGCTGAGCACAGACTTGGAAACCTCTGCCTGGGTTCAAAACCCAGGCTGTGCCTCCAGCTCTCTGAGCCTTGGTGTCCTCCTCTGCGATGGCAATGGTGACTGTTGCTAGCCCATGAGTGGCTGTGAGCATCTCATGAGATAACCCACAAGATCAGTGTTTGTTGAGCACCTACTATGTGCCCAACCCTATTCCAGACACTGGGCAAGAGCAGTGAGGGAGACAGGCAGAGCGCCCTCCTGGAGCAGCTGGCCACGCAGAGGACACACGTGACATGCTCAGGTGGCATCTGGGGGGGTGGCAGACACTCAGTGGAGGCCAGCGGTCCTAGCCTATACTGTGGACCAGGAGGCTGGAGCGCAGTCCTCGTCATGCAGGGTCGGGACACAGTGGTCTGCTTCCAACCCAACATTTCTTCACTTCCAGATAATTCTCCCTGACTTGCCAGTCTGATCCTCAGTCCCTGCTCAGCGACACTGGGAGGCTCCTCATGGCCTCCAAAATGAAGTCCAGCTCTCCCAGCCTGGTGCTCTGGCCCCTTGATCTGACCCCGAGCCTCACGTGCAGGCGTATTTCCACCCCTTGGCCCACCCCTGGCCACACCAGGCCAGTCCCTCTGTCGGCATGGCTCATGTTGTCAGTGTGGCCTTCCCCTGCCCTCTGCCCCGCTCGATGTGCCTGTCCGTAAGTCCTCTCCCACACTCACTGGCGCCAAGGAGTGAATGACCAAAACCTTGGCAAATCACCCTGTAGCCTTTGTGCCTTTGAAGAGGAGCCTGAAAGATCAGCCGTCATGATGGGATTCGGGTGTGTGATAGAGAGAGGACAGGCTCACGGGCTCTTGGGCTCCCTCGGAGGCCAGCACTTCTCCTTGCTTCTCTCCTTCCTTCGATGCCACTCTGTATCATCGCAAGTCACTAGTGTACCTTTACTTTTTCCACAAAAAGTGCCCCGGCATACTTCCTGCCTTACTCACACTGTTCACAGCCCCACAAAGAGGCCTGCCTTTCATCTTCTCTGGGTGCCTCTGCTGACAAGAACTCCCCTCTACCCCAAGCGGACAGCAGCCCCCTGCCCTCACCCTTAGGTGGCCTTCAGCAGCAAGGCTGACCTGGTCACTAGATCTGTGTCCCATCTGGGCCGTGGTGTCCTGGGTGCAAGGACTGGTCTGCTTCCTGTCCCTCACGTCCTGGCACTGAGGCCACCAAGCACCTTAGAATCCTCCTTACCCACCAAATGCAGGTGACATGCCCAAGTGTTCTGAGTCTGGAATGGGGTGTCATCATGAGGAACACAGCACAAATGGTCCCCCACAGGTGGGCAGTGTCTGTCCTATCTCTGACACCAGCCTAACCCCAGCTCACCTGTGGCTTAATGAGCATACCTGGAGGGTGGGCATGGAGGAGTTGGGGGGAGGCATACCCCCATCAGACTTCTAGCCTCAGTCTATTCCAGAGAAGGGGGAATCTGGAGGGATCCACAGAACAGTACCACTAACCTGCTGGGGTCAGAGTCCTGGAACATTCTGCTGCTACCATTATGAGGGTCTAGTGGTTTATTTTATTTTATTTTTATTTATTTATTAGAGAGAAAGAGAGGGAATGAGCATGAGCAGGGGAGGGGCAGAGGGAGAAGCAGACTCCCTGCTAAGCAGGGAGCCTGAAGCTGGGGCTCAATCCCAGGATCCTGGGATCATGACCTGAGCTGAAGGCAGACACATAACCAACTGAGCCATCCAGGTGTCCCGAGGGTCCGGTGGTTCAATATCAGATGGTTTTAGGGTTCTAATAGTCATTCCTTAACTTATCCATTCATTTACTCATTCAACCTGTGTTTCTCAGGCCTCCACCTGTGAGCCCAGCTTAGTGCTGGGTGCTGCATGCTGGGAAGAGTGATATGAAGGGAACAGCCCAGAAGCTCATGGACATAAGAGTTCAGTGGTCCTGGGAGTCCAACAACCTATGGTCAGGGATACAGGGAGGCAGGCATGTCCCCTGTCTGGATTCTAGGCACTGAGCCTCCTCTGATGCTAACAGTGAGACCTCCATTGCCAGCCTCCAAGAGCCAGGCTGAAATGAGACCCTGTGGGGAAAGCCTGGGGACAGAGGGGCTTGTTCTGGGGGAGATCCCACACCAGCCTAGCAGTACAGGTAAGCTCTGGAGATCCAATGTTCTGCCTGTGCAATAAGGATGAGGGCTTCCAGAGCTAGGTTATGCCCATTTTATAGATGGGGGCCATCATGAGACCAATCTGCTGTGTGGAGCAGCTTCCAGGCCCTGAGAACTCAAGTCAGCCCTGCCTAAGCCCATGGCAGTGTTGCCTCTACCCTTCAATGCTGGAGTGGCCATCTAGGCTATCCACATAGAGAGCAAGCAGGCATGATACAGTATGACTCTAGGAACTTTAGGAAGTTTCCTTGTCTTCCCACCTTTGTTCAATTCTATCTATAGTCAACATTTGAAATTATTCTACTTAGGCCCAATCCTTTAAATAAAAGCTCTGATTCCTTTAGAGTCCCTGGAAAAGGGAAGCCATCATCAGTTCTGGCCACCATGGTATAAATGAGTTTAGGTTTTTTCCTGGGAGTGGGTTTTGATAAAGGGAAGAAGGGAGAATTAGGGAGAGTGATGGGCCTCTGAAGAAAGGGGTTATGACCAGTCAACACTGGCCTGTGATGACAGTTTGCTGGGCTTTGACTAGTCAGTTCCTTTCTCTGAGCCTCCGTTTCCCCATCTGGATAGTACAGGAATTCAAAAGGATGGGTGGGACCTGAGGATCCCAGGGGTTCTAAGGTCTACAGGTCCTGAAGTGGTCCTGCTGTGGTCTGTTCATATCTGGGGGCTCTTCATAGGTTTGGTAAACAAGGGCTTCCTGTAGAAGCAGCTCGGCAATGTTGGGGCCAGCCTATCTCCTGGGCCTATCTTGATTGATTCAGAGAGAGGTGAGTCTTCTGAGGGTCTGTGATTCAAATGTTCTGGAGTCTACAGGGTGACCAGTTGAAAATGTGGGTGTTCTGGGAGTTTGCTCATGGTTCAGGGGTTCCGTTGTCTAGGGATTCACAAGCTGGCACTGAGATTCTGGGTCCTGGGTCAGAGCACAGTGCAGAGGTGGCAAATATGCATAGCTGGAGGACCAAGCAGGTTTTGTGAATGCACGAAGTAGATGGGTAGGAGGCAACATGGAGTAGTGGCGAATGGGGCAAAGTTCCTGTGGGAGAATGTTGACCCAGAGTGGCAGATCTGTCAGTCTTCCAAGAGAAGCTGGACATTTGGAATTTCATGTAAAATTTCCCCATTAGGAACAGTTCAGGACCAAATACAACATAGCTGTGAGCTAGATTCAGCCCTGGGGTTGCTGGTGCAAGACCCTCAAGGCTATGGGGTGGGGAACATGGAGTGGGGAGGGGCCAGAGCAGAACAGCTTCTCTGTCTCTTCCTCCTCTTTCTGGGGTTTCCTCCTCCCCAGCACCATGTTCTTCCCTGCTCCCCACAGGTTCTGAGATCCCATCCGTTTTTCAGAAATAAAGCTCACAGAATAAAAAAATTTGTGTGTTCTGTAGAGTCAGTCTCACTTGGAAACTGAGGCAGTTTCCCCACAACCAATACCCTGGTGTATAACCCAAGATGGGAACCTCGAGTGTTGCGGTTCACATGGAGTGACTGAGGTGACAGATGGGGACTGTAACATCTTGTTCACCCTCTTCCTCTCAGGGGAAGGTGTGCCGAGCTGGAGCTGGGGATACTAAACCCCCCAAGAACTCAGGCGGGGTTTGAATGCAGATGTCATGGGTTCAAATCCTGGCTCTGAGTGACTCTGGGCAAGAGACTTCACTGCTCAGTTCCTTGGTTTCCCCATCTGTAAACTGCAAGGAACAGCAGGGCCTATTTCACGGGGCTGGGTGAAGCTTTGGCAAAATGGCTCGTGGAAGGTTCTCAGTGCTGTGTCTGATACCCGATGAGGATTTTGTGCTATTATCACCCAGTTTTAGGTGGTGTGGGTGATAATCATGACCTCCGAGAGGAGGAAGACTTTGGACAGGTGGGATTTTAGTAAGATAGGGAGGAGACGGTCAAGGTGAGGGCAGAAACAGTGGAAGGGCCATATGAGTGTGGAAAAGCCACTTATCCTCTCTAGGCCTTAGTTTCCCCTCATGTGACATGAAGGAGTGGCCTGACTGAAGACTGGTGGCTCTGATACCTTGTATCCAAGATACTGGTTTTAAAGACCTACAGGTGGGATATTCCACTGTCCAATTCACTTATCACA